ACTTTAAGAGCTGGCAGGGGGAAACAAAACAGCAGCAGCTAACAATCGACTACAATGGAATTGATGGCATTATAATATGGGAGCAGGCTGTAATTCGGGGCTTAGTAATGGGAGAAGATTGCCAGTAACATTGTCTCGGATTACGGGTTTTAGGTCTTTTTTTCGGGCTAAATTGGGTCAAGTCAGATGGGCATGGACTTGCAGGTTTTTCTCAGGTTTAGTTTTTGCCAAATTTGAGAAATTTTAAAGATTTCAGGTATGAATGATGATTTATTTTTTCTTTATTCATACACTCTTGTTGTTTTTACAACAAGACTAACAACAGAAGAACAATATTTTGTTATTTGTTGCAGAGAATAAATTAATATCAATGATTCTTCTTACTTTAAAACATCTGTGGATTATTTTCGCCAAATAAATCTTCGATTCGTTTAAATACTGTAAAGAAACTGGTTTTAAACTATGTTTAAATGAATGGGCTAGTTGGTTATTGGTTTGTACATTTCATTAAGCTATCTAAATATAAATGATTATTGTCTAATAATATATAATAAAATTAAATGGGTTTAACTACAGAAATATAAAAGCTACTATACTTCATATCTTTGAAAAAGAAAGGCTTTGTTTGTTTTTTCATATGTTAATAAGAAAATAGATTAGCCATGCCAAAAATTAAATAAAAAAGTCTTAGGCTACTTGAGCATTTTCAGTTCGAACATATTTTCAAAATGTACGCATGTAGGCCACTTCTTTGAATATATATATATATCAATTTTCACCATGACCAAAGCAAAAACGACATTTTAAGGAAATTAATCGTAAAAAATTTGTATTTTTTTTTTATTTTGTGACAGCTAAACATTTTCCAATTTTCTAATACCCCTCACTGCGATCGAATATTTCGCTGGGCCACGTGCCGCTGAAAAAATAATAATGAACACGTCCAAAACGAGTCCACCTACATACGATTTCGAGCGAGGTTGAGGTTGATGTGACAAGTCCCAAAACTCTTGCTGCGCAAATCTCACTTGATTCGAACCGATTTTTAGTTTGGAGAGGGGGGCAACACGTGCCGCAGATCTCATAAAGCTGGAGATTTTCCAAGGCCAGAAATTCCCAAAAACTAAATATTAATTGGCCAACAACTGGGGGATGTGTAGTTTCAAGAGCGGGATTGTTCAAAAACAAAAACCAGAGGACTTGACCAAATATTTGCCAGCTTTTTTGTCTTTCTAAGCTTTTTTTTTTTATTTGCCGCCACTGTTGTTCTCGTATTGTCTACAAATATAGATACATTTTATGTGCTTCAATAACAGAAATTCCGCATTTGAGAATATGCATGCAATTGTTGACAAAAGTGACACACCAATCTGTTTATTCAGTTTAGAATGGAATGGAACGCGTTGGAAAAACAGTGAGTGGCAAAAAGGAGAAATTTAAAACAAAGCCGGGAGCAAACAAGAAGTTAAATAATACGGCAAATATTCGCCAGACCCCGTCTGAAAGTTCGGAATTTCGTGGGGAATACCGTACAGATGTTCGCTCTGGATTCAAACTTAAAAACCTAGATACAAACAAAAAAAAAAAAAAAATAAAAAAACTATGGAAAAACACCCAGCGAAAATGTGACCTATGGATAATTTTTTTGGGAAACGCGTGTGGGCCATAATCAAAACGTGTTTTCGTAGATGCTAAAACTATCTTAAGGGGGCTCAACTAGCACCCTCACTAAAATATTTTTGAAAACACCAATAAATTACAAAGTCAAGGAAATTATCAGCGTCAGACGCGTCATCGGCATCATTAAGTCGCCTTCAGTTTTGGCGGAAAAACAAAAACAAAGGCGTACACAATAAGTTCAAAATACGTATAAAAATTAAATTTGTGCGAAAATGACATAAAAATAAAACGAAATGTCCCCAAAAATATGCGAACGAATTGTGACGTGAAATTGATTCAATTAAATCTTTTATGACGTGACAATTGAATTCTATTTTCGCATCTAATTGGAACTGATTGTAGTTTCGCCCCATCGCACCCATCAACCGCACCGCCAATGTTCGTACATCTCTAGCAACACGTACTACTATGTATATACTATATACCATATGGTTTCTAGTACTACATATTCAAATATTGTTTGTCAACGACTGGCGCGTACACTTGCACCCTTTCTCGGTTTTCTATTCTCGGAAATGACCGAATATCGCAACGGGTCCAAAAAAAAAAGTGTCGAATGCCCTGCCTTTGCCTTTGCCTTTGCCTTTGCGGTTGCCCCCTGGACCGCTTTCCTTTTCGTTTTGGTAATCACTTGAGGTGGATGCTAGATGTTCGCCTTAACAAGAAGAATGACAGCATTTTAAATGACTTTCTACACTCGGTGTTCTGGGGAAATATGGCACACGTCGTGCCGTAATTACAGATCGCATACGAATTAAAGGAAATTCGCTTTCCTTGACGACTGCAAATTACGAAATTTCATTCAATTAAAAATGTCATCGTGCTTATTTTCAAAAACATTCTTTTCGATTCTGTTGTTTTTCTGTGCGGTACTGTAGGTCACTAAGAAAAGAATGTTAAATAAAATGGATTACATTTAATCTAATTTAATTAATTTGTGTTAATAATCTTATATTCATTAATAAATACAAATCATTTCGTTTATATAAATAAATAAATATTTAATTTGACAACGAAATCAAATGAATCTTTATTTAAAATTATATCAGGATCATCATCAGCTTTTAAGGTTAAGCTTTGTAAGAAAACGGTTTTATAGATAAACTAAAGCGGTACAGTTAAAGACAATATAACATATAAAGACAATACCACATTTAAGGTCTGCCTTGTTAAGTTTATTTTTTTTTTTGATCAGGCTCACAAAAATAGTCAATTATTGGCAAGCCTAAATCGGTGCGATTTCTTCCTACTGGTGCACTTTTTGTTGGTAACCTCAGCCTGTTTGGCTAAATGCAATGTTGCCGCTTTTCAGCCAAGTTCATAGTACCCATCGCGGGCCCAACAACAAAGTTGTGGGCCTAGCCCAAACTGGTTGCCCAATTGTCTTCCCCTGCTGATCGCAAGCCAGCGATTGTTGCTGTTGCCGTTTGTGTAACTACTGCAGCTGTGCACTCAAAAAAACAATGCCAGACATCTACATTTCGAAACTGATCGTACAAAAGAAAGACTAAAAAACCAGACTATATTTTTTGATAGGACTGAAAAGTTTAAAATTGTGTTCCCTTAGTTAACGAACAAAAAACTTTGAGTTTTTATTTATAGTTTATTAGACAAAATTGCGTTTTGTTTTGATTAAAAATATTTATTTATTTTTTATTTTCATGTATCTACTTTCTAAGTACAAAGTTATATTACTGTATTGGTCACAATTTATTTTGAGATTCAAATAAAAATCAGTCTTTTATCATTTGAATTGTAAATTACTCTCATGTTCAGTCATTTCTTCTTATTCCAAAAAAAAATATTATTGGGATTTTTTCTTATACAAATTCGAAATATGCACTCCAACTATATCGATATGAATTTAAAATTAGTTAGATTTATAAGTTAATTAATAATTAATTTTAATGCAAAATACCAATATTTTAGTTTAATTACACATACAAAAATAAAAAACTTAAACCAAAAATGTATTGGGCATTCGTGCTTACCAATATCTATTTGACCTGCATTTTTTATGTTAATATCGAGCCGATTTTTGTTGGTGTATTTTGCAGCTGAATTTTGGTTTCAGTTGTACAAAAGTGGCAATTAAAGTCCGGTTTCTCGCAGTGCAGTTGCCGTGGCCGTGGCAATAACGGGTTGTGCGGGCAGCGACGTTGCCGTTTTTCAGTGGTTCGGTTGCCGCTGAAAGAAAGTTGCACCCGCAACAAGCTGAACCGCCCCTGCCCTGCCCCTTTGCCCGCCCCTTGGATCCAACAGTGCTGGCAGAAAAGAAAGCCGTTTTGTTTTAATTTTTTCCACAATTATTTTCCGCTAGCGCAGGAAAAATTATATGCTTTTATTTTTGTAATTTTTTTTGCCTTTGTTTTTCGCTCTGTATGTGTGGTAAGGTTTTTTCACAAAATGTTTTTGCTTTTGTTTTTTGTTTTGTTTTGGTTACAAATTTCTCACAATTATTTTGTTGTTTTACGCAATAAAAAAACTTAACATTAAATACAATATATTTTTGTTTTTGCTTTTTGTAATAATAAAAAATTAATACATGTATTTTTTTCGTATTTTGCTTGTTTATTTCTTTCTTTCTCTCTCTTTTTGTAATAAATAGTTTTTTTCGCTTTGATAGATACTTTTTGCTGGTAATAGATACTTTCGTGTGTGTTTGTATGTGTGTATGTATGTGGATGGTGTGTTTATGTGTTTGTGTATTTGTGAGAACATTAAGTTTTCCTCATTACGTTAATTGTATTTTTTACAAATTATATCGCATTGCATTTAATTAAATTTTCACATTTTATTTGACGATTTCTTGATTTTGTTTTCTCTGCTACATTTAAGTTTTTGTTTTTATATCGCATTGGGAGTTTTACACAGACAAAAAAATTTTACAAATTTTTTACGCTTTCACATTTACTGAGATATTCATTGCCTTAAATTTTACGCTTGATTTTTTATGTTTAATTTATTCTCATTTATATTTTTTTGTTGTGGATTTTCTTTGTATTTTTATTTTTTCTTGTTGTTTTGTTTTTTTGTGTAGTACGCGCTATACATTTAATAATATATAAAAATTTGTTAAAATCCTAAAATTTGTTGGTTTTAATTAATATTAATTAATAATTTAAAAAAATTTATTGCAGCAAGCTGCGTCTAACTAAAATTGGAGCGTGTGTTCATCTACCTCTGTCACATTTCGAGGCCTCTTCTCAGTTTTAAAGTTAAATTTTAAATTTACCAAGATCAAGTTTGTTTGTTTTGTTGGTTTGTTTGTTTGTTTATTACTATATAGCATACAATTTTTAAAAAAATCTGTTCTTTTGTTTGTGTATGGGGGGGGAGGGGTGTGGTGTGGTGTGTGTGTGTGTGTGTGTGTTAAATGTGTAATTTTATCAACGTCTTTTGCCGGATTTTGGGCTAGCCGGCAAAAAACTCTTAGCATCTTAAACAGTATCACATATTCATGAGTTGTCGACCGGCGAGCCCCAAAGCGAAGGTCCCAGAAATATGATTCTGGGTATCGTGGGGCTGCCGTCTTTGAATTTCATGTTGGTTTTTCTTTACTTTTCTTCCGCTCTTCTCGCCTTTTGTTTTTCTTGCTTTTGCGTTTTTGAAAAAGGAGAAACAACTTAAAACTCTAATTATTTGTTATAGCACTACGCATCTAAGTAAAATGGTGGTGAGAGTCACAATTACAAAAATCGGGCCTTAAGGTCCCATATATAGTATTAGTATGAGAGTGTGATTGGCGTACCCTAATGTGTGTGTATCTTGTGTATTGTGTGTGTGTGTGTATGTGTGTGTGTGGTGTAGGTGGGGTGGCTTCGAATACTTGCTTCGTTGTTGCTCTTCAACTGCAACAAACTACTGCTCTCGATCATCACAGGGGTGGTGTTTTCTTTCGCAGACATACATATTATGTATATATATCTAACAGATCATGCAGATCACCTTAATTTGTGGGCGTGGCTATGGCCGCACTGGGGCTATGAGCGTGACTGCCGAAGCTATAACTCCGGCGTGCGCCCAAGCCATCGGCGGAATACAGCTTGTTCTTGGTGATCGTATACTCCGGACTGATGGTGATCGTGCGGGCCAGACTCTTCATGAACTGCGGCAACAGCGACGTCCAGCCGCGATGATCCTGCCTGAGGGTCAGATAGACTTCGAAAGTTGACACCGTGTCCGGGTCCACTTTGATCGAGGCGATGCGACGCGAGTTCTTCGGCTCATCCTCGAACTCAATGTAGATGGTGCAGCCGCGGATGCCGCAGGGCTCCTTCTCCGACACTCGGATAATTTCCCGGGCCACGCTCGGCGTGAGATCACAGGGTAGCGACACTTCCGTGCATGTCAAATGCCGCGACTTGGCCGCCCTCAGTTCGTCCAGGAGTCGCTGGGACAGCTCCTCCACGGCCTTCATGTCGAGATCTGGTGAAAAGTAGCTGCTACCGCACTCCTCCTCGTCCGCGTAGTAGTAGTTGCTGTTGTAACTGCCGCTTGGCTTCGTCTTCTTGCTCTGGCTCTGGCCAACGTTGTTATTGTTGCCCGCCGGTTGCTTGTGCTTAATACTGGTGGCGGTGGCGGTGGCGGTGACGTTTGTGGTATTGCTGCTGCTGCCTGTTCCGGCGGTCTTGGCCTTTTTGGGCATAACGGCCACGGCCGCTTCGACGGTAACGGGCGGTGTCAGTGTGCCGATCCAATCTAAAACGGCAAAGAACAAGGAAAAACTTTGATTAGTAAGCTGGTAATGTTGTAAACTTAAAAAAAAAAGGTCCACAAAAAATAGCTGAACAAGTCTTAACTTCACTTTGAAACCAAATTAATTATTACATATTTTTCAGTTTCAAGAGTATTTTTTAATAGTTCCAGAGTTCTTAAAACCCTTAATAAAGGTTTTTTTTAGTAAAGATCTTTATTTAAGATTCCAGAAAAGTTCGAAATAACAATTTAAAAAGTGTTATACCAGAGTTTCATCATATTTTACTGATCAAGTAAAAATGTTTGCAATTTTCAAAAGCACCCCACATCAAACACCTTTTAAATTCTATTGCTACATCACAAAAAGCGAAACGGAAGGGAAAGGCAAAAACAAACAACTAGGCGATGAGCCACAGCCGCTTGGCAACAGCGAACTCAAGATGAAAGCGGAAAACGCGAACGAAAAGCAAACGCAAAACCAAAAGACAGAGGGCAAGAGCCCAAAGAAAACGAAAAATCATTTTTTACTGCTGCCGGGAGTTAAATTTTTTGTCGATTTTCCTTTGTTGTTGCAATTTGCGTACGTGACGAACAATTTAACATGTATTTTTTTATGACATTTTTCTTTTGTAATTGCAAATTGATTTTTTATGCATTTTTTGTGTTAATGTAAATTACAAACTTTAATAGCTGATGAAATGTTTAAGGAGGATTTCAGAGCAATTGTTTTTTTTTTTTTGTCGTAAGTTCAAGCTATTTAAAGGTTTAAGACTTTTAAGACTTTTTTAAAAATGAAGGAATTTGTATCAAAAGAGTTAAACTGGTTTACATTTTGTTAAAAATTATCAAACATCTTTTTTTTAGATTTTCGAACATTCTGGAACCTTCCACAAATCTTGCTATGTATCCGTTTTTTTTTTTTTTTTGAATTCTCAACTTACCTCTATTTTTGTTTGATCCCAGAATAACGCCGTAGATGCCTTGCACGGGGATAACATCCATTTTCATTGGTTTTCTGTGTGGTTTGGTGGAAAGTCGAATCGAATCGAAAATCGTTCGTTCGTTCGCTCGCAGTTTTCCGACGGCTTTTTGCCCTTTTTTATCACTTGTACAATTAATTAATTAAGATTATTTAATTTATCACAATTTGCTGTTTGTTTTCTTGCTGATTGCTTTTTCTCCTTCTTGTTGCAGTTTAAATTAACATTTGTTGGTTGGTTGTTGTTGTTGTTTTGTAGTGGAAATCACAGCACTTATGTTGTTTAAACTTTTATTTGTTTTGTTGTATCACTTAAATGGCGTTGGTCCGTTGCATTTGTTTGATGGCAATTTTAATTTTAGTAGTAATATAACGTCAGTAGCATAGAATTCTTCGTGAAACAGTATAAATGATTGAATTTTGGATGTGTTACTTTAGCAGTGGCTATGCACGTTTCTGCTGCTGCTTCATTTGATTTTCTGGCCCGTGGCAAGGTCTGTATCAGTTATTCTTTTCTGTGTTTTTTCGAAGCTACTATGAATTTCTCTGCCGGCGCGCCGCCTTATATACCGCTCGGCGGGCCGCAGTCAACGCCGACGTCGCGGCCGGAGAGCGCTCTCTGTCGCACGCTCTCCCAACAGCTGTTCCACTCAGCGGCCATCTCGCTCATGCGCACCAGCAACCCGGCCGGCGAAAGAGAGATCGAGCAAGAGAGGGAGCGCGGACGGCGTACGTGACTTGCAAAGAGGAAAAGAAAACCCGAAAAGGAGAAAAGGATAAAGATGGAAATGTTCTCCCGCAAGGAAACGTATGCATGTAAAAAAAAGCAACAAAAACCCACCCCGCGTTACTGCGCAGTCGACTGCGACGCCGACCACGACGCCGGCAGAGGGCAACCTAAAATTTTCCACTCCGAAATTGAAAACTCAGTTGCAAGTTGCAACATGCTGCCCAATGCGGCTGTTGCCAGGCCGCAAAAAAAGATACAAATTCGGGATCCGAGATACCAGATACTAGATACGAATGTATCTTCAGAATTTCCTCGCCTTTTCCACGGAATCAAGCGAATGCAAATTTACTGCGCTCTCCGTTTCGGCCAAGAAAAAGTAGATCTCGAGAGAAAACCCACCAAATGCCTATGAGAAAAATGAAACCAAAGTTTTTGTGAAAATTTGTTGAAGAACATTGAAAAGCTGAAAAAATTATGTTGTGTCCATGTTTATTTTATTTTATAAACTTCCAACCTTCAATTAATATAAAATTGAATTGTAAAAATTCCTTTTTTTTCCAAAAGTGAACAAAATTCATGTTAAAGTTAAATTTCATAAAAATTTTTATACCTCTTTCTAAAAATCAGGTTCAATAAAAATATTACGTTTTATTTTTTAATCTGTTGAAAATAACAAGCCCATCTCTATAAAAAAAAACAATCATTAAAAAAAACCAGCCCCATTTTTATTGTACTTCATAAATATGTTATAGTTCCATGTTCTATTTTGAATCTACAACTCCTTGAACTATAAAGTTTTTATTTTCTAATCTGGTAGCAACCTATTTTTTTTTACTTTTATGTCTTGGAGAGAACATTTTGTTTAATGCAATTAACAAATCTACATAAATTTCAAAAATTTATGAAATCATTCCACGAAAACAACAACTCTTTTTCAACGTTCGGTTAATAAAACGGGCTCTATACATTGGTTTAATCATATATATATTTCACAAAAAGATTTCTTGAATATATATTTCATTTCCTTGTTGGTTTTACAATATCGCTTATCTAATCTTTGTGCATTGTAGCACTAACCATACAACATATAGACTGGTCATTTCATACGACGCATTTGGACACAAAAAAACGGACCGCGGAAGGTCCACCGCTCTCACAGCAGCAGGTCCATGCACTTCGTGTGCGTTCGGGTTTTTTACTCTCTCATTCTTATTCTCATTTTTATGCTCGCGCACTCATTGCACGAGTTCAGTCGTTCAGTCGCAGAGAGGCGCTTTTTGAAGAAGGCTGTCCTGCGCTTGAATTCGTCTTTGTATGTATGCGTGATCATGCATTCTCATACACGGGAGCATGTGTGCGTTTATTTCATTTCGGCGCATCAAGAATATTTTGTCTTTTGCCACTTTTCAAACTTGGTACCCTAAGAATATGGGCGTATTTACTATTGGGTTATGATATAAATATTAATATTATATGTTATAATATATTTTTTTAATATTTCAGCATACATTTTATTTTTGTTTACAAATTCAAATCAGTGGTAGCAGTAAAATGTTTTACATATATGTATGTATTCGAATTTATAGAAATCAGTCCACTGAGATGGGAACAGGGCATATCGCAGTCGTGTCACTTGAAACACCGACTGCTCTTCAGTGGTTGAGAAAACTTCAAACTAAATCAATTCTTGTCGATGTTTTGCGAGCGGTTGGTGCCTGCATACCCTACCGACGATTGCTTTTAAGGGAAGCGGGCTTTTAGGACACTTGTTTTAAATGTTATGTTTAGTGATCTTTGGTTGATTTATTTTTTAATTATTCGCAGTGTTATTTTAATTGTCTTTAAACAATTCGTTAAAATTCAACATATTGGTACAATTAAAATCTAAAATTATAATCATTAAAATAAATTATTATCATTAAAAAAATGTGAATTTTTATTTTTGTTCCATTTACATTTTCAAAAATATAAAAAGTATTTTATTATTTATTACTTGTTTAAAGACAATTAAAATAACACTGCGAATAATTAAAAAATAAATCAACCAAAGATCACTAAACATAACATTTAAAACAAGTGTCCTAAAAGCCCGCTTCCCTTAAAAGCAATCGTCGGTAGGGTATGCAGGCACCAACCGCTCGCAAAACATCGACAAGAATTGATTTAGTTTGAAGTTTTCTCAACCACTGAAGAGCAGTCGGTGTTTCAAGTGACACGACTGCGATATGCCCTGTTCCCATCTCAGTGGACTGATTTCTATAAATTCGAATACATACATATATGTAAAACATTTTACTGCTACCACTGATTTGAATTTGTAAACAAAAATAAAATGTATGCTGAAATATTAAAAAAATATATTATAACATATAATATTAATATTTATATCATAACCCAATAGTAAATACGCCCATATTCTTAGGGTACCAAGTTTGAAAAGTGGCAAAAGACAAAATATTCTTGATGCGCCGAAATGAAATAAACGCACACATGCTCCCGTGTATGAGAATGCATGATCACGCATACATACAAAGACGAATTCAAGCGCAGGACAGCCTTCTTCAAAAAGCGCCTCTCTGCGACTGAACGACTGAACTCGTGCAATGAGTGCGCGAGCATAAAAATGAGAATAAGAATGAGAGAGTAAAAAACCCGAACGCACACGAAGTGCATGGACCTGCTGCTGTGAGAGCGGTGGACCTTCCGCGGTCCGTTTTTTTGTGTCCAAATGCGTCGTATGAAATGACCAGTCTATATGTTGTATGGTTAGTGATTGTAGTGAGTAATTGTATACCTCGTTGCAGATTGAAATATATTTCATTAAAGTATGTTATTTAAAATGCACTGTGGATTATTATAAACTCAATTCTTTGTTTTGTCATAAAATATACATATGCATAGTTTGCAATCATAAAATCATATTCCAGGAAGTTTTCCCCACACATAATGCGTTAATTCTTTAAATATTTTCTTCCGATTCAATGACGAATTTCATCATAATTTCAATTTTATGCTCGCTCTTTGATATGTTACCCGCGCACACCCGACAATCTGAGGACCTGTTCTTATGAATTCATGGACCCGAGCACGAGAATTTCATCAGCAAATGAAAATTGTGTGGCAATGGGGATGTGGGATAATTTCATATTCATATCATGATCCCTCGCTGTGTGTCCTTCCTTTCAATTGAATGCATTTTCCTGCCATCTTCATCTTAACTTTTTTCTGTCCGTTTTTGCTGCCATTGTTGTTTGCTGACCAAAGCTGGAAATGCTGCACGTAGATTGAAAACGAAAGATTGAAATGTATCTCATGAATTCCCCCCAAATCCAACTTGTCTTGCTGTGATGCTGGCTCAAATAAATAAAATCAAATTTCTTTCAGATTGAAATGAAATTCCATGGAGCACGCATGTGTTTCTATTTCTGTATCTGTCTCTGTATGTGTAAATGTGCGTCTGTATCTGTGGGATATCCTTCGTGCCACATTAGCTTTATGTAGATGTGTTTTGTCAGATAATAAATGAATTGAAACGAGAACTTCTTTTGTTTGACTTCATTCACAAGTTTCGCCCCTGACTTTGGCACATTGCAAACTGATTTCAACTGATTTTATTGATAACCTGAACACTCTTTGAAATTTCGCAATCTTTGAAATGCGACCCCAGCCACAGCCGCCCCCAAGAAAGTCAAATGAGGCGTGGTCCGGCTTGATTAGAAACAGGCATCGAAACTTCCGAAACGGGCCTCTCAAAAATAAACAACAAAGAAACATGATTCAGATTGGCCAACAGACGTCTGCCAGGGGTTAATGATCAGCGAAATTTATTGCCCGCACAGATATACGGGTATAAATTGGCTTATAGGGCATGTGTTTGCCTACTTGTGCTAATAGAAAGCTGACGACACTTTCGGGTTTTCAAGATTATTGTTGTTCAGAGCCTTAAACTCTGTAAATACATTGAAATATAAATATGTTTAATCTGTGCCCGCATTTTCTAGTTTTCTCATCATCTTTGTTTATGCTTTTTTATTATACAAATCTGCATATAATTCTCCATATTAATTCTTAAAATGTATTTATATTTTCCCAAAAGAGAGTATAAAATCATAACATCTGTTTTTCGTTCATATGCGTATTAATGCCAATAAATAGACAATAAACTTTCAATGACTTTTATTTTAATTCAAATGATGTGGGTAAAGACTTGAAAATCAAATTATGTTTGCAATTTAAAAAGACCCAATTCAAATCGAATCGCTCATCTTATTTCGATTACTCAATTACAATTTTGCATAAACAACAAACTGACTTTAGTGTACAAAATTTAAATTTGTAAAATTTCGCAAGGTAAATCAATCAACTTTTAGATTGAAATCCACTTTCCCGACTGTTTTCTTTGTGACTTTGCGATACATCGCAGCCGGCGCATATAGAGAACTTTCCCTCGGTGTTCTCCGCTTTTCCGGGAAAGCAATTTTCACAAAGTTTACGCTTTGGCTTTGGCTTTCGCTCTTGTGGCCCCCTCGAAGGCAATTTGTAAATTTAAATTAGTTTTACTAAACACAACACATTTTCACGCCGGCACACTCGCACACATATGAATAAATTTTCATTAAAAAAAAAAAGAAAAGAAGGAAAGCGAGTGTGGGGAAAATCGGAGAACGTGTGCAGAACCCAAGTAAATTATCAAGAACAAGTTGAGTTTTCTTGTCGTTTCGTTTTTTGGCGCTGGCTCGGAAAATAGGGGGCGGGGGCCCTGTTAAAATGTTTCCCAGAAACGAGCAGGTGAAAAATACAAGGGGAAAACCTGAAATGC